TGTTTAGATGTCCTTCTGATTCACACCTCAGGTTTCTGATCTACTAGCTGACATGTTTATGGACATGTCATGTGCACATTTCATTAGCTGAAAGGAGATATGTATGTATGTATGTATGTATATATACAAGAACTGGTGCAGTGTGATGCTTCGAGCATAGGACCTGGACTCTAGAGATCGGGGTTCTGTTCCTGGCTCAACCATAAAAGCCCTCTGAGTGAGTCACACACTCTCAGCCCCAGAAAACTCCATGATAGGTTCTTGCATGTTTAAAGCAAATGACTTGAAGGCTTGAAAGCACACAACAAATGACTTGAAGGCACACAATAAAAACAATGTGTATGTGTATATATGTGTGTATATATCTAGGATTATCACATAAAATATAATTATTATTGTGGCAGGGTAGCAGTGGATTCTGCATGGGGACTTATGTGGGAATAGTTCTTGTTGAAGTTATCTGGTAACTGTTTGAAGCAAACAGAATGTAGAGGATGCTTACACAATCTACGCTCTGCCAATCTAATCGTATAAATTGGCTCTAAGCATTTTTCAATGAGGTGACCATCTACATTAGAGGTGAGGAACCTGTGGTCTGCCTGGTGTTGTCGGAACTATAAGTCCCATCTGTCTTCCCAGCATCATTCAGCATTGGCCATCATGAGAAAGGATGGGAGTTAGAAACCAAAAATGTTGGGATGGCTACAGTTGACATTATGGTCACTTTCATGCTACATGACTGCAGCATTTTGATCTCAACATTAATTGCCATGGCAGCATCCTGAGATCTGTAGTTTTCTATTTAAAATTCTATAACAGAGTTCAGTGCCTCACAAAAATACAAGCCCCAGGATTCCACAGGATGCCACCATGAGAGTTGAAGTGGCGTCATAGTGCTGTAATTTGGTTTTCTTTGTAACAGATCTGGTGGCTCTTGACCTTGGGCTGTTTTGACTTTGGACCTTTGCAGACTGCCAGAAATAGTGCAAATTGAGTCCACTTTAAGGGTTAGGGTTAGGGAATCATGGGAACTGTATTTTATTGTGGCACCAGAGCTCTCTGACACAGAAGGCTCAATGTCTCAGGGGGGGAAACAATTCCCATGATTCCCTAGCACTAACCCTAACCCTTAAAGTGGACTTTGTCTCTTGGAATTACTTGCTGCTTCAAAATGGAGGGGTTAGACCCTACGTGTTTAGTGGCATTTAGTCCTTTTCACTTGGATTACCTGGCTGTCAGGTAGAACCTGCGTATATCTGCATTACATAATCATAGCACTTTGATACCACTTTAATTGCCATAGCTCCATCTCATAGACCACTGGAATTTGTAGTTTGGTGAGAAACATAGGATTCTGTGCCTGAGAAACCCACTCAGGAAAGGGCACTATAGAGCCTGGCATTCATTATGGCAGAGCCAGGGCTATCAAAGCAGTATCAAAACGTTAAATTGTGCAATATGGATACAGCCTGAGTTTTGATTCTGGCCCTACTTGTGGGGCCCTTTCATACTGCACAGTTACAGCACTATGATTCCATTTTAACTACCATATTTCTGTCCTATGGCATGCTGAGAAAGGTATTTATAATTCTAATCCAGAGAGCTCTAGTGCCTCATCAAAGCAGCTTCATTTATATACCGCTTCATATCGCGCTATGGGATGTCTAAGCGGTTTACAACTGTGAGCTGATTGCCCCCCAACAATCTGGGTACTCATTTTAGTGACCTCGGAAGGATGCAGGCCTGAGTCGAGCCTCAGCCCTGGCTGGTATTGAACTCGCAACCATGTGGTCTATGAGTGAGTGGCTGCAGTACAGGCATTTAACCACTGCACCACCAGGGCTCTTCCATCAAGCTACAAATCCCAGGAATGATGCAGCTGTGTCAGTTAAAGTGGAATCATAGTGTTATACTGTGAAAGGGCTGCAACAGACAACATGAAAAGGAGCATTATTGATCTCTATGTTTATGGAGTATAGTTTATTGAATAAAAATAAGAAAAAGGTTATTGGCATAGAATTAGATCTGGTTTATTCATCTGTGCATTATCTTCTGATTACTCAACTTTTGTATTACAATCCTAAACATATCTTTTCAAAGGTAAATTCTTTTGAATTCAATTGAGCTTTTTCTCAGGTAAGTGGATATAGGATTATATCTTTAATATCTTACATGCATAGTATTTTTCATGTTTTGGAAGGCAGAAATGGTTAAAATATGTGTTGAAAATTTGGCATGTTGAAATATTCCTTTGAAATAAGCTGAATTCTGCAATATGTTTAGCATTGAAAAAGTGGAGGGTGAAAACAGCAGCATGGAAGGTGATGAAGTTAAGAAGAGGAAAGGCAAAGTGAATGTCAGGTGCCAACTTCTGTTTTTTTAAGATGTAATTCTTGGGAATGTGATTTCAAAAATATTAAAAACATATTCAACAGATCTGCTTTGGGTCATACAGTATATACTCTTTATATGTTAAAGAAGACAATATATAAATTCCACATGTGTGGACTTCAGATGTCTAGAAATTCTTAATATAATTTAAAACTTAGCTAAATAAGTTAATTAATTTAACTAAAATGTTAGTGGGAAACTTGTACTAAAAATTAATTTCAGGTAAATTCAGAAGAAGTGTGGATATTTTAAAAATAAAATGTATACATGTTATTTCAATAAAAGAGATATCAGTGACAACTATTACTAACACATGGCTTTATGACTCCACTATATGTTAAATCAAATTATAAAGTGGTGTTTTCATGGTCAGCCTTTCCAAATATCTTGTATAAACAATATGTTATGGGAATATATAATGAAAACAATCAATTTTGTCAGAAAAAGTTATTTTAAAGTTCATCCTTGTTGTGAAAAATGTAAGCTGTGTTTCCCGAGCCACAGGCTTGATTTTTACATATATTAGGCACAGGTTTAAGCCAGGAAAAAATAATTCTGGACCACAGCAGGCAAATTTGAATTGAAATATTGTAAACATATTGCTAAGCACGCATGGAAGGAAATTACTTTGGCCTTCCTCTGTAAGGGGACAATCTACCAAAGCTGGTGTCAGTTTTGCTGTATTTACATAAGATGCACAGTTTTGTATCACCAGAGCCAAGAGTTACAAGCAGAAATACCCAAATGTTCCCTTCACCACAGTAAAGACAATTAAGTTTATTTGCAGCAGACCAAGGTATGGAAGAAACATTACATATCCCTCCATTCGCTTGGGAAACCAACAAGATTACTTCAGATGTCAAATGAATGGGTGTGAAAAGTGAGACAAGAAGGACCCCAAAAAAGACAACATTGTCCTGATCGTCCTCTGAGGTTATTGATAGGAAGAAGTGGTGTAGGATACAACTAGGAAGCAATCTTAATATTAACCTTAAAGTCAGAGCTGTCATCTAATAATTAAGCCATTCCTGGAGCCACATTGCCAGTAGAAAGATTTAGGATTGTCTCAGAACTAATATAAAAGAATCATAGAGTTGGAAGAGACCACAAGGGCCATCCAGTCCAACCCCCTGCCATGCAGGAACTCAAAATCAAAGCATCCCCAACAGATGGCCATCCAGCCTCTGTTTAAAGATCTCCAAAGACAAACCCTTGTGCTCATCGCTAGGCCTAAAGCTGCAACTGCACTGCAGAAATAGCCCAGTTTGACACCACTTTAACAGCCATGGCTCAATGCTATGGAATTCTGGGAACTGTAGTTTTGTGAGGCATTTAGCCTTCTCTGTGAGAGAGCTCTGGTACCACAACAAACTACAATTTCCAGAATTCCACAGCACTGAGCCAAGTGGTGTCAAACTGGGTTATTTCTGCAGTGCGGATGCAGCCTCTGTCTTCTGTTTTGTGAATGGTTGGGTAGATTTTAGACCAGGGATAAGAAAGTGAAGGTCATAGGAATCTTCGAGTCTCACCTCTAAGCCCCACACTGCCTTCTCCTCCTGGGTCCCACTGCAGTTTCCTTTTGTTCGATGGTGACTCTGCTGGGCAGGGCGGTTGTCCTTAGGCAATGAACTGTGGTGAAAGAGCAGCATGGAAGGTGATGGAGGTAAGAAGAAGAAAGGCAAAACCATGCTCAAGAAATCAGATGTGGACAACATTGGGGAATTGCAGGGAGAGAGAAAGAGAGAGAACAGAAATAGGGGTAGTATCTCTTGCCTTACCAACCTCCAACTTTGTTCACCCCCCCCTTGCAAAAACACCCATGATTACCAAGAGAATGTAGCTATGAGGGACCAAATATTTTCCATCCCTGTTTAAGACCAAGATCAACATGTATTTGGTACATTATTTATTACATTGGTCCCAGTCCAAAAGTTTAGGATGGCATACCTGGCTATTCATCTTAGATGTCACAATAGCCCCATGAAATACTTTGGATTTAGAACAGTGACTATTTCATGGTTACCCACTGAGGTTCCTAGTCGAAGAAAGTTTGTGTTCAAAATTCTCCTAAGACTTTATCACATAAGGGAAATCCTATGCAGAAACGGGGTTTTAAATAGAAAAAATCCTGCAAAAGTGGATAGATTTTCAGACAACATTGCTGTTAAAGTGTGGTTAACCTGAACGGAAAGTAGTCAAAAGCCTCTTCTTTTTACTTTCAGAAAATCCCAAAAGTAAAAAGGGAGTGGCTTTTGACTACTTTCCGTTCAGGTTAACCAAACTTTAACAGCGATGTGTGTGAAAATCAACCTGCTTTTACGGGTTTCCCCCACCTTTTAAATCCTGTTTCTACATAGGATTTCCCCCATGTGATGAGGTCATTAGTTTTTATTTAATGCTCTAATTGTTCCACCACTAGCCCTCTATCAAGATAGCATTTTTTTTAAAGAATTCCAAGTATATGATGGGTGGCTTGTTCCTGTTGTGTGCCTTCAAGTTGTTTCCACCTTATGGTGACCTTAAGGCAAGATTTGTTCAGAGGAGACTTGCCTTTGCCTTCCGATGTTGAGAGAATATGACTTGCCCAAAGTCACCCAGCGAGTTTCCATAGCCAAACAACGATTCTAACCCTGGACTCTAGAGTCGTAGTCCAGCACTCAAACCACTACACTACACTGGCTGTCATGGTAGGTTGTAGGCAACAAAACAACAACAACAACAATAACAAATAATAATTCTCTGAAAACCCCAAAACACCCTCCCCCAACACTTACTGTATAAGTAGAAAATATCTGTAGAAAAATATTTGTAGAAAATAACAGCAAAAAATAACCGACTAGGTTAAGATTTGATTTTGAGTATCTATCCAAGGTGATGCCATGACATGAAATCTAGCAGAAACTGATAAAAGAATTCTAGCAGCCTAAAGGCAGATGAGCAAATATTACCGTGAAAAATGCCCTGTGTAGCTTAACAAATGAGTTAAGCAATGCAAAACAAAACAAAATGTTCTTAGAATTGCAGCTCAAAAGATTGGGGAATGTACCGCTTACCTCGTTTTGTTTTGTATAAATAGGTGCTAGCTTCTTCCCAGAGAAGCTTCTAAGCAATGGACCAAATACAAAAACTCCAGGAAGGAAATGAGTTTATATAGAACTTACCACAGAAGCCAGGCCTCCTCCATTATCTGACTGAACACACAGTTGCCTTTGCAAATGCACCATGCCAGCTTCCTATATAATGAGTTATTGTTCTTGCATGCTTTAAAATTGTTTTCATCAAGCAAGGGGAAATAATTCCAAATGCTTGTTGAGCAGCTTTGTTTGCTCCTTAAAATGTGGCAAAATGTTTGAGCAAGATGAAATGGTTTGTTTCTTTCCCTTGGTCTATGTGCTTTTCACCAGCACAGCAGTATATGTGGGTAACATTCTTCAAGTGTGCGTGTGTGTGTGTGTGTATGTACACATATGTATGCATCCACATGCACATACAAAATGTTACTCAGCTGACTCCATTACTTTCAGGAATTAGGAGAACTGTAATGGAGGTATCAATCCAAGATCTATTTACTTGGCGACAAGCTCAAGTTCAGGTGGGCCACTATAGAGTAAACATGCGCAGGATTGCAATGTCTAGACCTCAAAGTCTAGTGCAGTGGTCCTCCAGATGTTTTGGACTTCAACTCCCAGAAGCCCTAGCCAGTTTGGAATTCTGGTCTAGTGACTCTGACATCAAAATTCCCCATCCCCTTACCATACATAGTTTTAAGCATCTTTGCCTGATGAAGAAATTTCAAAAGTTTCAAAAGCTAACACACAGATTTGTGTGTCCTTTGGGTTAGCTGATATTACCACAATATGGAGTACCACAGTATGGATTAACAGAATATTATATGGAGGCAATATGTTTGAACAAGGCTGAATGACATCTCTCTCACATAGAAGGCAATTGCTCAAAGCTAGCTGCAGCTTCACAGAAGCTTGTGATTTGTGTTGCAAATGAATCAGGTATGTTTTGGAGCCCGCAAAAGAGATTGTTACCTAACTTTCCTGTCCAATGGAGTGCAATTAAGAGTATTTCCAATCTAGAAGTGAGATATTTCTAGTTATCTATGCTTGGTAACTAAGCCTAGGGCAGTGATGGCAAACCTTTTAGAGACCAAGTGCCCAAACTCAGTGACATTCCTGCACTGAGTGTCACCAAATGCTGGAAGCAGGACTGGGGGTGGGGGGCACAAAATAAAAATGGAGGACCTGACCAAATAAAAGTTCAAAAAGTAAAAAAAAAAAAAAAACCCAACTCATATAAATATTAAAGCCAGCCTTCTCAGCCCTGCTCAAAATGGAGGATCTTTTGGTCATTTAGCATTCTTTGTCAGGGATCTCTGGTGCCACAACAAATGAGAAATCCCAGAATCCCATAGGATCCCATGGACATATGGCAGTTAAAGTGGTGCCAAACTGGATTATTTCTGCAGTGCAATGGTTTGAGTGCTACATTAGGATCCTAGGAGACCAGGGTTTAAATCCCAGCTCTGCCATGGAAACCCACTGGGTAACATTGGGCAAGTCACACTCTCTTAGCCTCAGAGGCAGGCAATGGTAAACCTTCTCTAAACAAATCCTGCCAAGAAAACCCTGTAAGTCAGAAAGGACTAGAAAGCAAACAACACACACACACAAAGTTCAGACTCCCTTCCCCTCAAGGGACCCCCTGAGACCCCCAAATAAAGGCCTGGGTTCAAATCTCCTTCTCTCCTCATTTCCTTTCTAGGACGGATCATGTGGGGGGAGGGATGGAGATTGGAGGAGTGGCAGGCCACTTCTGCCCCCCATCCCACACCATGGGGAGGCCAGGAACTCCCCCCAACACATATATTTCCCCCTCCCTCCCTTCCTCCCCAATGGCTCAACAAAATGGGAGCAGAAAGGAGGAGGAGGAGGAAGAGGATGCGATGACCCCTTCCCCCTCAAAGAGGCCCCCCTCAGCACCCCCCTGGAATGGAGAGGCAAACCCCCCTGAGTAAAGGGGGCCTGTGTTCAAATTCTGCCCTTGAAATATTAAACACCATGATCGCCCTCCTGAGAAGCGCCGTTTGGGGATATAAAGCGCCCCCCACCCAGTCGGCAGACAGCCATCATGGCAACTAAGGGGCCACCTTCCTTTCCCCCCAATCCCACTGCAACAGACATGTGCCATGCATTCACCAACACGGGCCTAGGGCAAAAGATGAAGTCAAGGGACCACATCCTTTACCCGTATTGGTAGAAATATGTTGTCAAAGCCACCTGTAAAGAATATTCAGAGACCTTAACAGACAAGGGAAATCTGCGACCCAATATTCTTGCACCCCACCACCTGTCATCAGTCTCAGCCAGCATGGCCAGTGGTCAGAAAGATGCAGTTCTGCCATCATCCATAAACACTGTTCCAATATGACCTTACTTTAGCTCACAAATTTTCTCTATAATAGTAGAGAAACAACAAACTCAGAAATATATTAAATATATCAGAGACTTGTTTAATTGGGTAGATGTTAAAACGATGGACCAGGTGATAAGAACTATGGGCCCACTAAGATCTCTGGGATAAATTCTATCAGACCATGTAGAATATCTAGGGAATGACTTAAAATGTGGGGACTACCTATCACATTTACAGAATATGAAATTATGTGCACCCTTCATATTTAGATCTGAGATCTAATGGCCTAGAACTTAGAACCTACAAAAAACTGATAGATGACAGTTATGCTATTAGAAATACCTTTAAAAAGGTTTGGGAAATGATCTTGGTATAAAATTCCAAATGATCTCTGGGTAAATATTTGGTCAAAAACACTTTTTAAGTCAATTTCAGTGGTTATGGTGAAAGGAGTTTATAAAATAATCTACCTATGGTGTTATACTCCCTCCAAATTATCCTTTTTGAAAAAAACACAAGCCCATGTTGTCAGTAAGGATACAGAGAGCAGGGACTCATTCTCCCATGGCCAGGCATATGCAGCCCGTATGCAATCTAGGTTTATGCTGCAGCTTTTCAAGGACAGAAAATCCTGTCCTTGAAAAGCCGCAGGGTAAGCTTAGGTTGCATACGGGCTGCATAGGCCTGGCCACAGGAGAATGTGCAAGATCCATCTTTGACAGTTAAATGCACGTGTATCCCATCGAGGAAAAGATGGGATAAGGTGTGCATGATAATCCCCAATGTAAAAAGTAGATTTGCACTCTTAAGGTTAATTGACCAGAAGCCAGAACATCTCTGGACTGAAGCCAGGGACAGTGTAAGGGAGGAATGTAAAAATACATTTATTTGCAGGCTAAAAGAAAGAGAAACTTCAGTGGATGGCAGATGAAATTCTTTAGACAATTAAAAACCGACAAGAAGCAAAAGTACAAAGGAGATAGAAATAAAGTCAGAACCCTGAATACAGCTGTTCCATGACTTGCGCACAGGGACAAGGAGAGCAACTATAATAATCAGTGCAGAGAAATAGAGGATGACAAACAACAAAAAAAGAACAAGAGACCTTTTCCACAAGATCAGAGAATTCAAAGGGAAATTTCAACCAAGAGAGAGGATGCTTTGTGACGAGCAGGGGAATATATTACATTGCCAAGTAGAAAGTAAAATACAATAGAAACTATACATGGATGATTCATATAAAAGAGATGTAAGGATGACAGATTCATTCAGGGAAGAACCATATGTAGATGAACCTCCAGTATTAGAAAGTGACATGGAAGCTACACTCAGAGCTCTTGGGAGAAATAAATCAACAGGAACGGATGACATGCCCATACAGATGCTTCAAGCTACAGAGACAGAATCAACTCTAGTTCTAACTAAAACCTGTCAACCTGCCAAACAATGGTCCACAGATTGGAAATACTTAGTATACATTCTAATCCTAAGGATTGTGATGGCGAACCTATGGCACATGTGCCAGAGATGGCACACAAAGCCATTTTCCCAGGCACACAGAGGACAAGGAAGAAGAGGTGCGTGACTGTTCCTCCTCCATCCCACCCCTTCCCAGCCTTCAGATGCCTCTCTGGAGGCAGCTGAAGGCCGGGGATGGTCCAGGGGAAGAGGAGGAACAGGCGCACACCTGTTCCTCTTCTTCACCCCTTGCCCCTCAGGCTTTCAGCTGTCTCTGGAGAGATAGCTGAAGGCATGGGAGGGTGGGGAGAAGAAGTCCCACCCCAGAAGTCCCCCCCCCCCGGAGGGTGGAAGTATAATAAGAGAAACTAAATATCCAGAATGTATCATTGTAATACTGTATCTGAGGAGTCACAGTGGAAACAAAAGTATTAATCCTATATATGTTAAGTTTTTGTTAAACTGAAGAACGGCAATGATTCTACCCTCAGAAACTGTATGTGATTCAGTGATTTGGCAGTAGATATGGAAAGAATTTAAATTGATGAACATGATTTTAAAAACTTTAAACTTGAGATTTTTTATCTGATGGAAGACAGAAAATCAGATGAAACAACAAGGCATTGGATAGAGAAGGAGGACTAAAGGGAGACAAATGGAATGTGAAGAAAAAACTATGGGTGGTGACTTGCAGCCAGGCAACATGTATCTGGAGATTTAGAAGTGATTTTGGAGGAACCAAGGAGAAGTATTAGATATATTGATAACAACAGAGAGCAGAGGAACAACATCAGATAC